CATTCTTAATTGGGATCTATTGGGATCTAGCTTCTGCAATTTAGCTTTTGAATGGACGACTTTGATATAACAATTGGCTGCCTGGGTCCAAAGTGGATATGTGTGTACTTGGTTAGAATGCGTTTTCAAAGGGATTCACTTTTTGTTTTGTTTATCATTTAGGGAACTTTTTTATTAATGAAGCCATGGAACTAAAAGTTGGGGACTTCGGTTTGGCAGCCAGGCTAGAACCCTTGGAACACAGAAGGAGGTAAGAGTCAGAAAGATGCATCCTGGGAGGGTTTCGTGGAGACCAAATGTGCCTTCATTATTTTGCAGTTGATGTTTTAGAGGTCAGGTGATAAAATCTATAAACCATAGCAATGTTAAAGAAATACTAAATGCCCACTGTGTACTAGACAGAGCCCCCTGTGCCTCTAAACTGATTATGAAAGCAGTCAACGACATCTTTTCTGGGCCTGAAATGTATAAAATGCCACAATGTCCCTGGTTTTAGTTGGTTAACAATATTTTGTCCTGTAGGCTAAAACACTGTTTGTGTATGTAAAAAAAATTACCAAAACTCACTTGGCCAGACCTCAATTGTTCAGATGCTAAAAGTCAAATGTTTCCAAATAGAAATTCAGCATAGATGATAAGATTTTGTTTCCCATCAAGTCACATCAAGAGAACTAAGTTTAAATAGTGAAATAGTTCCTAATAAGATCTCGATTTTTGTCTTTCCAGAACGATATGTGGTACCCCAAATTATCTCTCTCCTGAAGTCCTCAACAAACAAGGACACGGCTGTGAATCAGACATTTGGGCCTTGGGCTGTGTAATGTAAGTAAATACAGCAGAATAATTAAAAAGCAAATTCAGATTTAGATGTTAACACCTGAAAAGAGTTGCTTTATGACCATTGCTAAAGATGTGTTTCTTTGCACACAGGTATACAATGCTACTAGGGAGGCCCCCATTTGAAACTACAAATCTCAAAGAAACTTATAGGTGCATAAGAGAAGCAAGGTATACAATGCCATCCTCATTGCTGGCTCCTGCCAAGCACTTAATAGCTAGTATGTTATCCAAAAACCCAGAGGATCGTCCCAGTTTGGATGACATCATTCGACATGACTTTTTTTTGCAGGTTGGTTGCTATCTTCCTTTTTTTTTTTTTTTTTTTAAATTCCATGCTATTGATCCCAGTTACCTGGCAGGTTACTTAAGGCCTTTTCTAATATTCCACAGGGCTTCACTCCGGACAGACTGTCTTCTAGCTGTTGTCACACAGTTCCAGATTTCCACTTATCGAGCCCAGCTAAGAATTTCTTTAAGAAAGCAGCTGCTGCTCTTTTTGGTGGCAAAAAAGACAAAGCAAGATATATTGACACACATAGTAAGTTAATAAGACTTCTTTTCCTTTTTTGTATCCAATATTATATTTAAATTTGGTACATTAGTTAAAAGGGAATTTTATATTAATATAACTAGCCAGATTCACATATTCTTAAACGTTGATATTTATAGCATAATAAATCCATACCTTGAATTGTGATTGATAGCTTTTCATTTTGCAAACATTAAAGAGGGGTTTTTGGGCTAGTTGCAGCTAATGGCAAAGGTAAAATGCTATTTTGCCTTGGATGCTCATAAGCTGGTGAATAATGCAAGAATGAGGAAATGTGGCTAACCCTTTTCCTTCCTTGTTAAGATAGATTAATGTTTGTAATTTTATTCCTTGATTTGCAGATCGAGTGTCTAAAGAAGATGAAGACATCTACAAGCTTAGGCATGATTTGAAAAAGACTTCAATAACTCAGCAACCCAGCAAACACAGGACAGATGAGGTGTGTTGGGGAAGAGTAAAGTAGATATTCATGCTTCACATTATTTCCACTCTTTATGAATTAGGACTTGAACTATGATTATCATGGTTCAAATTATCATGGCCGTATTTACCTCAAGTTTTTCTTCAAACCCTTTGAAAGGGAAGTTATTGGCTTTTAGTTTTATAGTGCATGCAAGTGAGTTACTGCATTATCTTTTATCTGGCTTGTGTCCATTGCTTTTTGATAAGCTTTCACAGCAGCTACCTGACTCTCATCTTAATCTGGAATTCTCAGCCTTAAATGATTTTTGATGCTTGACTCATTGCATAACTTTCCTCTCTTCCTAGGAGCTCCAGCCACCTACCACCACAGTTGTCAGGTCTGGAACACCCGCAGTAGAAAACAAGCAGCAGATCGGGGATGCTATTCGGATGATAGTCAGAGGGACTCTTGGCAGCTGCAGCAGCAGCAGTGAATGTAAGTAGTTGTCAGTCTCATTTTAAATAATGAAACTCTAAATGCCAGTGCTAAATACATAGTAATTTAAGTCAATTTACACTGTAGCTTAATTTAACATAGAAGCAGCAAGGTTATAGGAATTGGAAAATAATCCTAAGTTCTATGTCTTCAGAATTAATGGAGTGAAACTTAATATCTACCAAAGCCTGAGGTTTTATTGCTAAAATATTGTTTACCTTAAAACATTTCTGTCTGACTTTTTTAGGCCTTGAAGACAGCACTATGGGAAGTGTTGCAGACACAGTGGCAAGAGTTCTTCGGGGATGTCTGGAAAACATGCCGGAAGCTGACTGCATTCCCAAAGAGCAGCTGAGCACATCCTTTCAATGGGTCACCAAATGGGTTGATTACTCTAACAAATACGGCTTTGGGTACCAGCTCTCAGACCACACTGTGGGTGTCCTTTTCAATAATGGTGCTCACATGAGCCTCCTTCCAGATAAAAAGTAAGTGTATTGATTAATGAAATCCTGTCAGTTCTCTAGTCTTGGACTAAAGAAATCTAAAAACTGATTAACTGCTTCTATTTTTTTTCCTCTTTTCTCCCTGTCGTTCCTGTTTTTATAGAACAGTTCACTATTACGCAGAGCTTGGCCAGTGCTCTGTTTTCTCAGCAACAGATGCTCCTGAGCAATTTATTAGTCAAGTGACGGTGCTGAAATACTTTTCTCATTACATGGAGGAGAACCTAATGGATGTAAGTTTTGTGGCTTTTGAAGGGTAGTCCACAAACCAATAGCATCTGAATCACTTTGAAGCTTGTTAGAACTAGAGATTCGCCTGTCCTACCCCTGATTTACTGAATCAGAATCTCTGAGAGATGGAGGCAGAGATTTTCAAGGCCATTCTGATGCTTGCTTAAGTTTGAAAAGATTTTCTTAGAATAAGAATAGAGTACATGCTACAAAATCTTTGTAGGCACTAACTCACTCATCTCTTCCAGGGTGGAGATCTGCCTAGTGTTACTGATATTCGAAGACCTCGGCTCTACCTCCTTCAGTGGCTAAAATCTGATAAGGCCTTGATGATGCTCTTTAATGATGGCACCTTTCAGGTAAATGAACTCTGCAGGACAGTTCATGTTTAGGTCCTAAACAAAAAGATTTGTACCTAGGCAGTTTAGTAATTGACTGAACTTTTCTAATTCTTGACTATTTCAAGAGATCTAATGTCCGTGTTTATTTTTTTAAGGTGAATTTCTACCATGATCATACAAAAATAATCATCTGTAGCCAAAATGAAGAATACCTTCTCACTTACATCAATGAGGATAGGATATCTACAACTTTCAGATTGACAACTCTGCTGATGTCTGGCTGTTCATCAGAATTAAAAAATCGAATGGAATATGCCCTAAACATGCTCTTACAGAGATGTAACTAAAAGACTTTTTGAACAGACCCTATGGGACTCCTCTTTTCCACTGTGAGATCTACAGGGAAGGCAGTAGAATGATTTAGAGCATGTTGAAGAAGATGGACATGTGGTGGTACGAAAACAATTCCTCTGTGGCCTGCTGGACTGGGTGGAACCAGAACAGGCCAGGGCATCCAGTTCTTGACTGTGGACAGTCCAAGAGTGAACCAGGATGCAGTTTTCCTTGAGATACCTGTTTTAAAAGGTTTTTAAAGAAAATTTTGCAGAAAGGTGCATTGATTCTTAAATTCTCTCTGTTGAGAGCATTTCAGCCAGAGGACTTGGAACTGTGAATATACTTCCTGAAGGGGAGGGAGAAGGGAGGAAGCTCCCACGTTGTTTAACGGCTGTAATTGGAGCAGCTTTTGGCTGCGTAACTGTGAACTATGGCCATATATAATTTTTTTTTCATTAATTTTTGAAGATACTTGTGGCTGGAAAAGTGCATTCCTTGTTAATAAACTTTTTATTTATTACAGCCCAAAGAGCAGTATTTATTATCAAGATGTCTTTTTTTTATGTTGATCATTTTAAACTGTTGGCAATAAAGAGTATGAAAAAGCAGAAATAATGGTCTCTTGTCTTTAGTAGAACTCATCACCACATTGTGGCATTTTTTGATAAGGTTATGCCAAGCAGTGCCAAGAAGCCATTGAGGATAGAAGCATACTAGAAATTTAGATCTTCAATTTTTTTCTAACTACAGTTTCTAGGATGTCTAATACCTGAAGTACAATCATAAACTTTCAGGGTAGATCTAGCTTAAGAACACCATTCTAGTTACAACCAAAATATAAGCCTCCTACAAAATGCAAATCCAATTTCTCTCTGAAGTATTTCTTCAAAACTTGCATAGCTTGGAGGTAAAGCCAGAGTAAACAGATGTCTGTTATTAAGTGTCAATAGGTACAGGAAGTTTATCTTAATATGGGCAAAACTCTGAATTAGAATGTGTGCACCAGCTAAACATGTTACTCAGCATAAACCTGCCTAAACACTTCTAGTGCCTCTGGCAGTACTAGCACTTGATTCTAGTAGTGAGAAATACTTTGTGAATAAGTCATTTTATATTCCTTCTGGTGCATGGTAGTTGAGGAGTGGTATGGGAACCAACATACAGTTTGGGGCCCATCTTTTAAATTATTAAGTTACCTATGAGGTAAATCTGAGGTTTTCTTTTTCAGTGGAATCTACTCTTTGACAGGTGTAGTAAAGGAAAGCTGCTTATCCTGTTACTCTGAACTTACAGGGATCTGCATAAGATGTAAATATTTTTTGTTCAATTGTGACCCCACTATAAGAAAAATACTGTCCTATGGAAAGAAGTGCTTTGGCTTGTAAAGGCTGTGTTTATATTGTGATCCTGAACAGCATAGTATAGAGATGCTAGTTGCATTTTTACATTTTTCTAAAGTTGTTAAAACTCCACTTGGTATATTGTATTAATAAAAGCCAAATCCAGGGAATATGTTATGAGTATTTCACATGTCCTAGATTAACTCCTGCTGGCTGGAGTTCTCTGGCCATGTATACAAATTCAGTTTTCTTTAAATGGCTTATAGCTGAAGGAAACTGAATATTAACAGCTGGCTGTGCAAAGGTAGAATCCAGTTGTATTTTTATGAGCAGAGAAGAAACAATAGTTTCCAAACAGTGGAAAAAAAATGTTCCTTTCTTTTGAGTTTCACAGTAGAAGATTGTATATTACCTCATGGTTCCAAAATACACATTTACCCATTCTTATATGTACTGAGCATCTGCTGTATACCACATCCAGGGCCTGGCATTGGAGACAAAGAGTAAACCCGAGCCACCTGCCCCCCCACCCCACCATCAAGGAAGTCACCGTGGAGTGGAGGAGACAGTGCATTTACTATTAGGGTGATAACAGCTGTGATTTTATGATAAAGGTATGTACTGGGTGTTGTGGGAATTCACAGCAGGAATCATGAGGAAGAAGCCCCAGGCATGGGCTGGACTCAGTGAATAGATTCCAGAGAAGAAATTTGTTTTTATTGGGTTTGAAAGACTAGTGTGGGGTAAACAGAAGTATGTGATGGGGAAGACTGTTACACGCAGTGGGAATAGCACGTACAGAAGCCTGGAGGATGAAAGAGTTCACAGATGTGGGTGTGCAAGTCTGAAGTATTACAGGTAAAGGCTGTAAGACATGAATTGTGCAACCCATCACTTTTAGGCTGCATTTGAAGGCTATGCCAAAATACTGAAAAATTTCAAGGAGGAAAAGTGACATAGTATTTCAGGTTCCTAAAATTTATTCTGGGAGCATAGGAGATAGGAGTGGGGAACAAGAAGGAAACAGCCCAAACAGTAAAAATATTAACGTTGTGATTCAGTTGAGAAAGGATCTGAGACTTAATGAAAAGGAGCAAAGGAAGAGTTAGGCAATATCTCATTTGGCCCACCTGATTCATTTCAATGTTCCAGCACAGAGCACCAGATCTGGTACGGGACAGTCAACTCTCAAACGAATGAGTAAATGAAGATTGATTTGGGAGGGACTTAGAAAGTTGATTTTAACAGGATCTGGAGGCTGGTTGAATGTGATGCCTAAGAAAGAATGTGAGGTGTAGAAAGATTGGCTGAGGCAGTCAGTGGTGGAAGGGTTGCATTCTTGGGCCATTAACTCTAGTACATTAGGAATAAGAAGGAAGAGCTTGACGGGAAATATAGGGAGTTTTAGACATATCAAATCAGACTTGTATAAGGATGCCCATAAAGGTCCAGAAAACACGTAGATATGCAGGTCTATATCTCAAGAGAAAGCAACATTTGGAAGTAACCAGGTTTTGGAGAATATCTTGGGAGTGGATGAGAACACATAAGGATACCTCTGTCTCCCCTTACCAACTGCATTTTTGGGGAAGGAGTACAGAGGCTATCTCCATAAAATATGTGTTGATAAGTCTTTGCCATGGGGGAAGAAAAATAAAAAATTCCCAAGTAAATTACCCTTCCAAATAAGGAGACCCTGAATTCCACAAAAAAACCCCCCAAAACCTCTAGATTTCTTTAATGAACACCTTTGATCCCCAGGAACACTTCTCCATTAGTCCTCACAAATCCTAACAGTCTATAGGCTGAGAAAAAAAAAAGCAATGTTTAAAGATTTTGTAGTTTTGTTACATGTCCCAGCTATGGGGGAGGCTGAGGCAGGAGGCTTGAGCCCAGAGGTTTGAGGTTGCAATAAGTTATGACCATGCCACTGTACTCTAGTCTGGGTGACAGAGGGAGACCTTGTTTCCTAAAAAAGAAAATAACAGATACCTTCAACTAAACTTGGTGTGGTCATGATATTAACCTTGATCTCTCAGATTATTTGACATTTAAGACTTTTATCTCTTAGTCCCATCAACCCTTCAAGAACTGTTTCTGAATGTAACCTCATGTCAGCTAGGGAGGAAGGTTACTCCAGTGGAAAAGCTGTGGAGTCAAGTCTTGAGTCCAAATTTCTGTTCAACCACATGTTATTAATGCAATCTTCAGTAAACACCTAATCTCTCCAAGCTTCAGTTTTCTCATCTGTGAAGTTAAAATGAAAATAAAATACTTGCACATCAAAGGTACACAGTAAGTGTTTGTTCCTGTTCTTGTTTTGTTTCTTCTGCCTCTTTCCACATCTGTAACGGCAGGAACCCTAATTATCTAGAATATAAAATAACTGTCTCATTCTTGTTTCTCCCACTTTCAGTTCTATGTAAGTTGTAATCGGGTCTTCAGTTCTGTGTAAGTTGAGATCCAGTTGGGATCATTTTGGGAGCTTCAGGGAGGAAGAACCTAATGGTGATTGTTGGTCTTACAGATGATGGAAGAGCTCAGTAGTGAGGCAACCCAGAGACTCACAGCAGCAGAAGGCACTACTATGCCAATGGCTAGAGAGATCCAGAGAAAAAGTCATGTTACCAGAGCCCAGAACTGAGTCTTCTGGCAGAAACTAGAATCATGATGGTCACTGCTTACCAGGATTTTGAAATCATGGAACAAATGTCATCATTGCTTGAGATGACTCCTATGCCTATTTGGATGAGAAAAAAAAAGGGACAAAATGTTTTGGATTATTTCTTGCTTTTGCCCTCCAATCTCTGATTGACCAAATGAGCTGGAAGGCAGTAGAAAAAAAAAAAAACCTCAGAAATATAGTTGTCAGGTCATTGTAGTATCACAAAATAAAGAAGATGAAGGGCAGAGAATGGATCTGAGCCTTAGCCAGCATATTAATGGCCTACCTTCCTTTCTTAGTTTTTATCTTCCATTAATTTTGTACCACTTCTATCTTCTCCTCTTAAATACCAAAGTGACATAATTGCTAAGAGCTGTAGTTAGCTAGGCAGCAGGATGACAGGCAGTGGAAGGTTGGAGAAGGAACAACATGCATAGGTGGGCATGAAGAATGGAGTCATTCCCGCTTGAGGCCTCTGTGTTTTGTAACGTCATCAGACCGTTTATACATTATAGAGATTTTAATCTACTGAAAATACGTGTGACTGAAAATGAATAGCTGCATCTTCATAAGGTACACAGAAAAACCAATGCTGCATGAGAGAATGATTATCCATCCATGAGACAATCAGCATATTTCTAAACCTTGTAATAAACTCTTCTTTAACCAGAATCCTGTAGATTCCACTTTATTTTTCCCAACTTGGAAGAGATTCTGGTTTATATTTGGTCAGATTCATGCTTTGTTCTAGCTCTTCTTTGTATCTTATTAACTTTAGTAATGGAAGATATTTCTTTGTTTGAATTGTCACAATTTAATTATATTAGTGAACTCAAATTAAAAAGGTAAACTTTCGTATGCAGTGTTAGAAAATAATATCATGGTTCATCGATGTCTAAAATTCAATTGAATAGAATAAATAGATTTTGCCTCTAGGATTAGCCTGATAATACATTTATATGTAAAACAAAATTGATTTTAATGATTGAGGTACAAAAAACTTTACTTCTAAGGTGAGATAAAATAACAAACTACCAATCTATCTCTGCTATGAAATACTAAATGATTAGATATTTTAACCTAGCCATGCAAGTTAGAACACATTCTCTGTTCCAAGCCTATAAAAAAATCAGTTCTACATGAAATCAAGCAACAGGCCTAGGCTAGGGGTGGTGGCTCCTGCTTGTAATATCAGCACTTTGGGAGGTGGTAGGATCACTTGAGGCCAGGAGTTCAAGACCAGCATGGGCAACACAGTGAGACTCCATCTTGCTATAGAATTTAAAAATTATCTGGGCATGGTGGGGCATGCTTATAGTCCCAGCTACTTGAGAGTCTGAGGCAGGAGGATTTGTTTGAGCCCAGGAGGTTAAGGCCACACTGAGCAGTGATCACACCACTGCACTACAACCTGAGTGACAGAGCAAGACCCCATCTCTATAAATAAACAAACAGACAAAAAAAAATAAGGCATCAGACTTCAATGAAGTAAGCAAAAAATGCCTTTCTTTTACACCTCTTTGAAATCTGTGGCAGCAGATTTCAAAAGTATGATCATATAGACATGTCAAAGAGTTTCATTGAGATGTAAATTTATTATGTGACCT